ACCTAGAGAAACCATAGAAATGATACAGAACAGAAGGGAGCTATTCAGCCCATCTTGTCCATGCTGAACCAAAGACACCCAGGTGCCCTTTCTAATCCCACCTTCCTGCAAATGGCTCATAGACCTGCAGTTTACAGCACTTAAGGTGCAAATACAGGTATGTTTTAGAAGAGTTAGGGCCTCTGCCTCCACCACCAACTCAGGCAGCAAATCCTAGACACCCAGTGTCCTCTGCGTAAAAAAATTTTCTGCATGTCCCCTCTAATCCTTCTGCCACTTAGCTTGAATCTATGACCCCTGGTTTTTGAACTCTCTGTCACTCTGTCCACTCTATCTCTTTCCCTCATAATTTTGTATACCTCAATCATGTTACCCTCAACCTTCTCTGTTCCAAGGAAAACAACCCTAACCTCTTCAGTCTCTATTCATAGCTATAATTCTTCAGCCCTGACAACAATCTAGTAAATTTCTGCACTGTCTCCAGAGCAATTCCGTTCTCCTTGTAATGTGGTGACCAGAACTGCACTCGATACTCCAGCTGTGGTCTCACCAGTGTTTTATACAGTTTCATCATCCTTTCCCACTTTGTATTCTATACCTCTGCCAATGAAGGCGACCATTCCATATGCCTTCTTTACAGCCTTATTTATTTGTACTGCTACCTTGAGAGATTTGTGCTCTTGCACACCCAAATCTCTCACATCATCTACCCCTCTCAGTATATTCCCATGTATTGTGTGTTCCTTTTACTATTTGACCTTCCTTAAAACATTACCTCACACTTCCCAGAGTTGAATTCCATCTGCCACTTTCTTGCCCATTCCACCAACCCATCTATATCATTTTGGAGCTTACAGCTATCCTCTAAACTCTCCACTATTTGGCCAATTTTTGTGTAGTCTGTAAATTTGTCCCACCCCATTCCCCCCACGTTCAAGTCCAAAGCATTAATGTATAAAACAAACAGTAGGGGTCCCAACAGCAAGCCCTGTGGAACACCACTTGAAACAGCTTTCCATTTGTAAGGGCAGCCATTGACCATTACCCTTTGTTTCCTGTTACTCAACTATCTTTGGTTCCAATTTGACATATTATCGTGTATCCCGTGGCTTTTTACTTTTTTGACGAGTCTGCTATGTAGGACCCTGTCAGTTGCCTTACAAAAATCCATGTAGGCAACAAGTTTGCAGATAACACCAAAATTGGATGTGTAGTGGACAGCAAAGAAGGTTATCTCAAAGTATAACGGGATCATGATCAGATGGGCCAATGGGCCAAGGATTGGCAGATGGAGTTTAATTTAGATAAATGTGAGGTGCTGCATTTTGGAAAGGCAAATCAGGGCAAGACTTATACGCATAATAGTAAGGTCCTGGGGAATGTTGCCCAACAAAGAGACCTTGGAGTACACATTCATAGTTCCTTGAAGGTGGAGTTGCAGGTAGACAGAATAGTGAAGAAGGCGTTTGGTATGCTTGCCTTTATTGGTCAGTGCATTGAGTATAGGATTTGGGAGACCATGTTGTGGCTGACAGGACATTAGTTAGGCCACAATTGGAATACTGTGTCCAATTCTGATCTCCCTGCTGTAGGAACGATGTTGCGAAACTTGAAAGGGGTCAGAAAAGATTTACAGGGATTTTGCCAAGATTGGAGGGTTTGAGCTATAGGGACAGGCTGAATAGACTGGCGCTATTTTCCCTGAAGCATTGGAGATTGAGGCGTCACCTTACAGAGGTTTATAAAATCTTGAGGGTCATTGATAGAGTGAACAGATAAGGTCTTTTCCCTGGGTGGGTGAGTCCAAAACTAGAGGGCATAGTTTTAAGGTGAGAGGGTAAAGATTTAAAAGAGACCTAAGGGGCAACTTTTTCAGGCAGAGGATGGTGCGTGTATGGAATGAGCTGCCAGAGGAAGTGGTGGAGGCTTGTACAATTACAACATTTAAAAGGCATGTGGATGGGTATATGAATAGGAAGGGTTTAGAGGCATATGGGCCAAATGTGAATAGATTTTTTTTCATTATTCATTCACAGGATGAGGGCATCACTGGCTAGGCAGCATTTATTGCCCATCCCTAATTGTGCAGAGGGCAGTTAAGAGTCAACCACATTGCTGTGGGTCTGGAGTCATGTGTAGGCCAGACCAGGTAAGGATGGCAGTTTCCTTCCCTAAAGGGCATTAGTGAACCAGGTGGGTTTTTCCCAACAATCAATTCACGGTCATCATTGGATTCTTAATTACAGATATTTTATTGAGTTCAAATTCCACCAGCTGCTGTGGTAGGATTTGAACCTGGGTCCTCAGAATGTTATGTGGGTCTCTGGATTAACAGTCCAGTAATAATACCACTAGGCCATCACCTCCCCAGTGAGCATTGATGAGCTGCACTGAATGGTCTGTTTCCATGCTGTATATCTCTATGACTCTATGACTATAACATCCACAACCCTCATCATCCTTCTTGTGAGGATCCTCTGATGAAGAGTAATCTGATTGATTTTTGTTTACTTTTTTTTATTGTCACGTATACCGAAATACAGTGAAAAGCTTTGTTTACCAGCAGTACAGGCAGATCACAGCAAGCAAAGGATATACAGATCAAAAAGACTTAGAGGAATACAGGTTACGTTGCAGATTACATTATTTGAAACTAGAGTGCTTTCCACAGTCTAATAACAGCCGGAAAGAAGCTGTTGCTTGTGCGTGTGTTCAGGCTTCTGTATCTTCTGCCTGACAGAAGAGGTTGTAGGAGATCATTACCAGAGTGCGATGGGTCTTTGATGTTGGCTGCCTTTCAGCAGCACCAGGCCATGTAAATAGATGCCATGGATGGAAGATTGGCTTCCGTGATGGTCTGGGCTGTGCGTACCACCTTCTGTAGTTTCTTACGGTCCTGGGCAGAGCAGTTGCCACACCAGGCTGTTATGCACCCAGATAGTATGCTTTCAATAGTGCATCTGTAGAAGTTGGTGAGGGTCCTTATGGACATGCCAAATTCCTGAGCCACCTGAGGAAGAAGAGGCGTTGCTGTGCATTCTTGACTGTCTAGACTCAAAACATTAGCTTGCTCTCTTTCCATGGATGCTGTCTGACCTGCTGTGATCTTCAGCATTTGTTGTTTTCATCCCTGAGTAGTCCATGTCTTTCTAAGTGACATTTATCTGATCTCTCAGGATTAATTCTAACAATTTGCCCACCACTGAAATAAGACTAACTGGCCTGTATTTGTTTGGCATTTCCTTTGTACCCTTTTTAAACAATGGAACCACATTTGCATTCCTCCAGTCTTCTGGTACCTCATCTATGTCTAGGAAGATTGGAAAATAACCCTCAAAACATCTACTATTTCCTCCCTGAGTTCTACCAAGATCCTAGGGAGCAGTCCCTGGCAACTTATCTGATTTCAAGGATTCTAACTCATCTAATACTTCCTCACTTGTTATGATTATTTTGTCCACTATTTCACACTGCTCCTCTTGGGTTACTTTATCTACATCATCCCTTTTCTTTGTGAATATGGAGACAAAAAAAAAATTTAATATTCTCTGCCTTTTCACACAAGTTCCCTACTTCACCCCTGATAGGTTCCACCTTTTTCTTAACAATGCTTTTGCTCTTTATACCCTGGTAAAAATATTTTTTGAATTTTTCTTTATCTTGCTTGGTAATATTTTTTGATGCCCTCTCTTTGATTTCCTTTCTTCTTTTCTTTTTTTACTTAATCCCTGTACTTTCTGTATTCCTCTAGGCTAACTGCAGTGTTGAGTTTTTGTGACTATCATAAGCTTTCTTTTTCTGTTTAATCTTCCCCTGCATTTTTCCCAGCAACCATGGGGTCTAGATTTAGCAGTATCGTTCTTATTTTTGGAGGGGACATATCTGCTTTGTCCCCAAAGGAACTCACTCTTTAGTGCCTCCCACTGGTTTACCACTAATTTATCCTTTAGCAGTCCTATCCAGTCCACCTCAGCCAAATCACTTTTAATTTTGTAAATTTGCCTTCCCCCAGTATAAAATTTTTACTCCTGATTTATCTCTGACACCTTTCGTAATAATACAAAATCTAACCGAATTCTGGTCCCCAGTATGGTTTACCCACTTGCCCATCTTCATTCACCAGAACTAAATACAGAATTGCATCTCCTTTCTTTGGGCTTGTCAAATATTGATTAAAAAAATCCTGAACACAGTGCATGAACTTTTCACCTTCAACGCTCCTTATATTATTTGAAATCCAGTTGATATTAGGATAGTCAAAGTCTCCTGCTATTATTGCCCTCTTATTCCTACAGGCTGAAATTTGTCTACATATATGTTCTCTTATCTCTCTGCCACGATTTGGGGGTCCATTGTATTCTCCTAGTAGTGTGACTTCCCCTTTTTTAATCCTAACCCATAAAACCTCATTTGTTAACCCATCTAGTATATCATGCCTTCTCAAAACTGTAATTGATTCTTTAACCGATACTGCTACACCCCCTCATTTTTTGTCACCCACTCTATCCTGCCTAAAAACTCAGGGATATTGAGCTGCCAATTCTGTCCCTCATTTAGCCAGGTTTCCATTGTAGCAACGATATTGTGCTGCCATGTGACCAATTCATCTGCCTCTTTTGTAATACTCTTTGTACTGAAAGTATAAACAGCTCAACCCTAACAATTTCTTTTGCTGACAGTTTTTAATCCTCATTTCTTTTGTCTTTCTGAGTCACTAACTACATCACTAAGTAATGTTCTTCCTCTTCTGATCTGCATTTGACCCATTTAAGCCTGCTCTTTGGTTCCCATCCACCTACCGTACTAGTTTAAAACCTCACCAATGGAATAGCATGCGGTATCCTGGAAAAGGGAATATGTTGTTCATTGATAGTTCTATGATTTCTCCATTATGCTCATCACTGAGTCATAAATTCAGTGCAATGTTGAAGCACCCTTTATAATATTGCTGTCTTATTAGACTTAAATGTATTACTGTGCTTATTTCTTCAAATTGGCAGGCGGACATTAGGCAACATAGAACAAGTGAAACAGATCACACTGGAGGAAGCTCTACAAAGCAGTGAAATACAAGCAGCTATCATCAGTTTGGAGAATCGGTTTCATGAGGAGTATGTGAGGTATGATAAACAATGCAGCTCTTGAACATACACAGCAGTTATAAGCCCAATCAGTTTTCCACGAATACAGGGAATGCATAGCATGTGATTCAATATCTTGAAGAGAAAGAAAAGTCAATATCACAGGTGGTTTTTCTCATCACAGCTGACACAGTTACCAATGGGTTGGGCAGAATTGTGTTATGTATTGAGGTTGGGGGGTCAAGGTACAGGTCAAGTACTTCGATGTAGTCATTTCACAAAATAATGGTCATTTTTCCCAAAATTTCTCTAGCATTAGATAGTGGTGGAGTTGGGGGTGTAGAATGGAAGTACTGTCAATGTCATTTGCATGGTTGTGGTGAACTGGTCTCAAATAGCCAGTTGAAACATTGGAGCAATGCTGGGTATTCTCAAGGCTAAAACAGGGTCTAGTAAGTTGCTGGACGAACTCCAGTCATTCATTCCTTCTGCTTCCAAACACCAGAGGCCTTTTATTTTAAAGCCTAGACAGGAATCATGTCCCAGCTGCTGCTTTAGGTGTAAGATCTGCTGAGGCCTTTGGAGGTGTAAAGGGCAGACCTCCTACAGTGACTGCTGTGGAATGCTCCTAGCTGACACATCCACAGTTCCTACACTAGAATTTAATTAGCCATATGAATTTGGGTGTGTTCATGGCAGTCTGCCAGCTCAACATGCTCTCTCTACCTCAGAAATGTGTTCAGCTTTTCACCCTGTATCCTCATTGCTTATATTTTAATGCTCTGCCATTTCTGGTGAAATCTCAGGTAATGACTGACTGTTCTTTATTATCATTGACTGTTTCCATTTTAAAAGTCAGCATGCCACATTTGGAAATTTATCTCAAGTTATTGTTTCATTTTCTGGCATTTTGCTAGTAAAATTTCTATAAACATGTAGGATGTAGTTTTGGGAATCAGCCAAATGATGGATGCAATCACCTGGGAATTGATATTTGGATGACACGTAATGGAGATAAACATTTCTGAATCTCCTGTTCGATGGTGATGGTATTGCATTTCCACAAAGTTGGCACTTGGTGTAGGAGTTTAATATGGGTTGGGGGTGAAAAGTGGCCCAGAAATTCTGATCAGGCTTGGAAACCCTACTTCCAAGCCTGATTGGACTTGTCTTTTGATCAGTTCTGCCCTAGAACTTCCTAAACAGGAGTCTTTTGTTAGGAAACAGCTTATCCAGCAATGGGTGCATCACTGTAGAAATAGATTGTCCCTTTTACCAGCAGTAGGGGCCATATCTATAGTTTGAAGGTCCAGTAGCTATTTTATCAGTTACTGTGAAAAGGTGAATGGAATTGGACAGAAGGTGGGGAGGGGGAAAGTTTGGGGAGGGATGGTGTGGGGGTGTAGTTGGCAGGTGGATGAGGGTTTAGGGTGCTAGGTGGTAGGGGTATCAGGTATCTGAGGGGATAGGGTGGTAGCTGGGTGAGGAGGTAGGAAGTCAGGTAAGTTGATGAACACTTAGGGTAGACCAAGGGGTCAGGTTGGGTGCAGCTGTGTCAGATCCTGCAGAGATAGTAGGAACTGCAGATGCTGGAGAATCCGAGACAACAAGGTGCAGGGCTGGATGAACACAGCAGGCCAAGCAGCATCATAGGAGCAGGAAGACAGACGTTTCTGGCCTAGATCCTTCATCAGAAATGGGGGAGCGGAAGGGGGTGCTGAAATAAATAGGGAGAGAGGGGGAGGCGGATAGAAGATGGATAGAGGAGAAGATAGGTGGAGAGGAGACAGACAGGTCAAAGAGGCGGGGATGGACTGACCTATCTCCTCCCTAACTCCCCACCAGCCCTGCACCTTGTTGTCTCAGATCCTGCAGAGTTTGGTTGGTGCAAGCCTTCATAAGGTAAGAAGTGGGGATGTTTGTTAATGATGTTTGGACAATATTCAGCATTATTTGTGACTCCTCAGATAGGATGTAATGGATGTTCATATGCAGCAAGACCTGAACAACATCCAGGCTTGAGCTCATAAGTGGCAAATAACATTTGCACCACCTAAGTGCCAGACAATGACCATCTCCGACAACAGAGAATCTAAACATTTATGTTCAATGACATTACCATTGCTGAATCCATCAATATCAGCATCCTGGGGGTTACCATTGACCAGTAATTTTTCTGGAATTGCTAATACAATGGCTTGAAGCGCAGGTCAAAGGCTGGGAATCCTATTGTAAATAAGTCACCTGTCTCCCAAAGCTGATGCAGCCTCTCTGAGGCACAAGTCAGGAGTGTGATGAAATGCTCCCCACTTGCCTGGATGAGTGCAGCTCCAACATGCAAGAAGCTTGACACCATTCATGATGAACCATTTTGCTTGATCGACATCCATTCACCACCTTCAGCATTCACTCCTTTCACCATTGATGCACAATGGCATCAGTTTACAACATCAAAAGATGCACTGCAGTAACTTACCCAAGGTTCCTCTTATAGCACCTTCAAAATCTATGGTTTTTACCACCTTGAGGGACAAGGGCAGCAGATACATGGCAACATCACTACCTACTAGTATCCCATCACCCACACACCATCCTGTCTTGGAACTATATAACCATTCATTCATAGTTGCTAGATCAAAATACAGGAATTCCCTTCTAAACAGTAATGCGGGCATTCCTACATCCTAAGGACAGCAGCAGTTCAAGAAGTCAGCTCCATTACCTTCTCTAGGGCAATTAGGGATGGCCAATAAATGCTGGCCTAGGCAGTAATTCCCACCTCCTCTAGAATGTATAAAAGAGCATTTATCAGCTATCACCCACTAATGAATATGGTTGTCCATCTAGGAATTTCCATGTCACTGATCATAGTTTCTGTGGGTTCTCACATGACTGATGAGCTTGATCTGAGAGCCACATCTCCAATCACACATTTGGCAGTTGTTTGTGAGAGGTGGAAGTGGTCCTTGGCTTTGAGTGGTCTTTGGCATTCCTTTTGTGTACTGCATCTTGCTGACCAGAGTTCTCGAAGAATTGTGTTCCTTCATATTGGAGTTTCCTTCAAGCTGGTTTCTTCTAAACGAGGGTCTCCCATGCATTAACATCTATGTTACAGTTCTTGAAGGAAGCCTTCACGGAGTCTTTGAAACGCTTCCTTTGTCCTCCTCATGTTGGAGTGCCTTCCTTGAGCTGGGCGCAGAAGATTTCCTTCGGTAATTGGGACTCGGGAATTCTAGGCTTGCGGCCGGTCCAAAGTAGTTGGTTTTGGATGATAATGGCCTCAATGGTGGTACTGTTAGGTGCTTCAAGGATGCTGATGTCAGTATGTCTGTCCTCCTAGCTGATGTGGAGAATTGATTTCAAACAACGTTGTTGATACTTCTCAAGGGTCTTGAGTTGGCATTTATACGTAGTCCCAGGTTTCTGAGCCATGTAGGACATTACAAAGGATGACTGCCTTATACACAAGGATTTTGGTATCAGTCACAGTCATCCAGGACTGTCATCCTTAGGCATCCAAAGGTGGTACTCACAGATTTGATGTGCTGTTGAATCTCCACATTGACGTCAGCCTTCGATGAGAAGTTGCTTCCTAGATAAGGGAAATGTGCGACATTTGGGAGGATTTTTCCATTGATCTTAATGGAAAGATGGAACAGAATTTGACCTGGGACAAGTTGGCAAAGAATTTGAGTCTTCTTGAGATTGAGGCTGAGGTTAATTCTCCATGATGCTTCCATGAAGGCTCTAAGCAAGGCTTGAAGATTCTCGTCTGAGAAAGCAAATGTAACATTGTTACCTGCATACTGAAGTTCCACAAGTGAGGTCAGTTTCATTTACTACATTGATTTCAACCAGTTGAAGTTGAAATGTTTTCTGTCCATCCTGTAGACAATGTCCAAACCACTGGGAAGCTTGTTCTCGACAAGATGAAGGATGGTGGCAATGAAGATGGAAAAAAGGGTGGGGGTGATGATCCATCCCTGCTTGACCTTTGTCTTGACCTCATGGTATTCTGTCATATTACTGTCAGGAGGTCTACTATCAACATCTTGTTGTAGAGGAGACAGAGGATGTTAGTGAATTTCACTGGACAGCCAGCCTTTGATAGGGTCTTCCATAGCATCTTCTGATTAACTGAGTCAAAACTTTTGTTCTGGTCAATAAAGGTCACGGAGAGTGATAGGTGTTGTACTGGCATTTCTCTTGGAGTTGCTGAGCAGTGAAAATTACATCCATAGTTCCACAGTTTGGTCAAAAGGCACACAGGCTTTCAGGAAGAATTTCCTCAGAGACTGGGAGAAGGTGCCCTGGCAAGGATTTGGCTGGTAATATGCCCAGTGATGGAGAGTAGGAAGATTCCTTGGTGGTTCCTACAGTCTACATTGCCTCCTTTGTGTGATGGCAGCATCCCTGAGATCGGCAACAATTTCCTCTTTGTCCCAGATTTTTAGGAACGGTTGATGGAGATGACAGGTAAATTCTGCTCCCCTAAGTTTGAAAATTTCTGCTGTAATCCTGTGTACTCATGCAGCTTCTCCATTCTTCATGTATCTGATGGAGATTTCGACTTCTGTCACATGAGGTGGGAGTCCAAGTTCATCTTTGATGGGAGTTGGGGCATTTTCTCACTCTGAGGGCTGTTCAGTCATGAAGAAAGCTGCTAGGGACTTCCAGATCTCTCATTCATGTCCCTGTCACCTCTCACCAATCAGTACAGGGTGGGTGTGTGTATGTGTGTGTGAGTGGGTGGGTGGGTGTGTTTGGGATAGGGGTGGGGGAGGTGCAGTGTAATTCCTCTTGATGGACATCTTGTGCAGGTTGTCTTTTCACATGGGAATGCTATCACATATCAACAGGCACGTGATCCCTGACAGAATGTAAATCCAGTTCCAGTGGCAAGGAAACATCGATAACTGGGGAGCTCCCTGCTATTTCAGCCTTCATCCACCGTTGCAGTCACTGATATCACATGGGTACTTTCTGCCTGGATCGCCGCTTTATCAACTTTCTCCCCTCCAACCTTACCATCATACGTGTCCCTGTCAGGAGTTGAGAACTCCTGATGGTATTACTCTCAGAATCAATGCAACACGCAAGCCTTTCCAGCACAACAAGATGGCAATCCACAGAGATGAAAAAGCATTATATGAGTGATAAATAATAGACAATCCAAAATTGCAAAAGACCCTGAGTTTCTGCTGCATTCTCCCTGTTCTTATCATTTTTTCGCACTACAAAACCCCTCCTTCCGGTGGTGGCTCCATGTTCAATAGTCTTGATAAAATAGTAAAAGAGGAAATTGAGAGAATGTAATAATTAGATTTATAAAAAAAATACATTTTCTGGGCTAGATTTGGATTACTAATCGTGGATTTTGTTTTTGTGTGTTCAATGTTTTAATGATTCAAAAGGCTGTTTCTGGAGGCAGGGAAACATGTCTGTGTGGAATACCCATTGGCACTGTCAGTGGCTGCTGCCCAAAAACTATGGGATCTTGCTGATATCAAAGGTAACTGGATGAAATTGTTGCAGTAAAACAAAATTGTTTGTGACAATGACTGTATAAAGTGCTGAAACAGTGTCAGCTCCGATAATTAAATACTTATAGCATGGGATCTGAATCTGGGTCAATAATGGACATATGGATCTTTAAAGATTTGATCTCTAAAACCTTTCAAATACTGATCACATATAGTGTTTGTTTTGGTACCATTTAAACCGTGAGTCAGGGAAAAAATACTTTTTCTGTTTTTATTGCACTTTTTGAAGGATCCTTTTAATTAGTTTCAATATAAAATGAAGTTTACTTCGCAAAATTTAATGCCACTTTCAAGTCCCTAATGGTTGTACACACTAGGTCTGAGTGTGAATGTGAATTTCTATAATACCATTGTTATTCATACAAACTAAAGGGTTTTTTTGTGCTGGCGACAACTGATGAACTCTAACTGATTATTCAATAGTTAAATTGGGGAATACTGACAAATGACACTTGAACAAGTGAAATTTTCTGCAGTGCAGTTAAATGTGTCCTACTGGGGCATTATCCTTGTGTGCTTTATTGTTAATTTGATGAATGTAGTTTTATTAAACTTAAGACCCAACGGGAAAAACTGTATTAAAATTAAACTGAATATGATTTCTTATTTTCATTTGATCATGTCACAATTTAAATGTTGCTTCTTGGAGTTCTCCAGTTGCTCAACGAGACTGAAACCTTCTGGGAACATTAATCAACTTTCTAGAATCGAGGTTCCCTTAACAGAGCCAAATGTTTGGTCTGTTTTCAAATTTATCATTGAGATGTTGACCATGTTATATCTCAAGTTCCCACAGATATCCATATGCAACACCTATAATTATTAGATCACCTTTGAAATGCTGAACACAGATGACCATGACAATGACAATATTCAAAAGTAGATTTAATTCTGTTTTAAAAAGTAGGAGTATTTGATTATCCTTTGCAGAATTCAAGTTAGTGCTTTGCAACACCTACGGAATTAACCTTCTACTAGTTTTTGAATGTTATAAGATACAGTACAATAACCAAAATTTGCAGCTTTTATGAAGCATTTTTATATAATAATGTCCCTGCAGTCCTCAACTGTAAATGTAATTTGTCAGTCCTTCATTTACTATTTAGAAAAATATCAAATATTATGACAAGCGTACAGATATGCTCAAAGTGCCGATATTTAGATTAATTCCAATATGGGGACAAAAATGGACACAGGACACATGAGTGATTAGAATCTGACATCTACCTGTTACCAATCCTGTGGAAAACCAGGACACTCTTTGATATAATTATATAATACTAACTTATCATAACAGAATCATTAAACCCTCTGGAAAATGCAATGTATTGAACTGTCATAGTAAATATAAAATAAACATAATTTTTCATGTTTTCATTTTTTTGATTTAAAAACTATCCTGTTCTGTTAGTATAACTGCATTATTTTAATTGATATTTATAAACATATACATGTTGATTATATGGTAATTATAATGTATTTTATTTAAATGTGTTTTTTTCCTAAATGCAGGAAAAATTCTACATGTGGAGCACATAGAATTACTGGCAGAACCATATAAGCAGCTGAAACAGCAAGTGAATAGAAAAGAGCTGATAGAGGGTTCCCTGCATTTTACAGGTAGTCATAATAACAAAACACCTGAGACGGAAATACAGGATAAATGAACAAAGTGCCAACTCCTCAGTTGTCCTTAATATTATCTATTTGCTGATATAGCAGTTTTTAGAGGTGAGGGGCAGAATTTAATGCTTCCCTGTACAATTGCAGCAAGACATCCCTGCTCCTGTAATCCTGTCACTATGAAAGCCAACATATCATATACTTTCCCCACTGTCTGTTGCACCTGCTTGCTTATATTTTACTAATTTATTGCTGAGGAAGTGCCGTTTGACACCTAGGATGGCCATTAGCTGAATTATTTTTGGCCTGCTTTTTGTGGACAGCCAAACCTGCATAATGTTCAACATTGTCTAGTAGATGCTAATGTTATAGCTTTACTAGAACAACTTAGCCATGGATGTGGCTAGTTCCAGAGCATGCAACTTCAGCACTACAACTAAAATGTTGTTTTGGGCCCACAGCCTTTAGTGTAAGCTGTGCACTACGCTGTGTCTTGTTATCACACAGAGTGAATTGAAAAGACTGAAGACCACCATCCATGAGGTTAGGGACCTCAGGAGACTGAACTGAAAACAACAAATGCTGGAGATCACAGCAGGTCAGACAGCATCCACGGAGAGAGAGCAAGCTAATGTTTCAATGCTATCTGACCCACTGTGATCTCCAGCATTTGTTGTTTTCAGTACAGATTCCAGCATCTGCAGTAATTTGCTCCTACCTCAGGAGACTGAGTTGGATCATCTACTTGACACTTACAGCTGAAGATGGTTGCAATCCAAATGGATTGGTTGGTGATTGGATGGTTACAAATGCTCCAGCTTGTCTTCTGCACTCAGATGCTAGCCTCAACGACCATTGAAGAAGGAAACTTCCTCCTTATTTTAGTTGTTTATCTAACCTTCACCATCATTCACAACTGGATGTGGCAGGACTGTAGAGCTTTGATCTGATCTGTTAGCTGTCATATTGCTCCTATCTGTCTGTAGTATGCTGCTTCTGTTGTTTAGCAGGCATGTCATCCTGTGTTATATTGTAGGAAAGCTTGCCATTTCACAAACATTTACATTATTGATATCTTCTCAGCTTAACACAAACTACTAGATAGTTGTCAGCAGGTTCAACTTTGCAGATTGTACGTAATTTAATTTGATAATAGTGCAAGATAACTTTAGACAAAATTGTTATTTTCACAAGGAGAATGTTTATCATGACGTGTCAGACCTTAGGCTTTAACTTGCTTATATTAATTTGCTGCAGCAAAGCTTGTATACATAACCTATCATTCTCCAGGTGGGCCTCTAGATCGACAACGCACCGGATTCCCTGCCTTTAGTGGAATAGCCCGTCTATCCTGGCTTGTGGATCTCTTTGGGGAGCTCACTTTGAAATCTGCTACATTGGAAGAACAACAAAAGCAGCATTACTGGAAGATGACAACACGTTTCCTTACTAAAAATAGCAGGTTAGTGATACACTAGTTTTATATCAGCCTTCAGTTCTAGAAATTGTCAGGAGTCGGTGAGCTGTCTTGTCTGGATGGCTGTCCACCATTTTGAAAGGACTGAGGATTCTTTTGACTTTGTGAAATATATAACGAAAATGGGATCTATTTGAACTCAGCATCAATTTTAAAAGGCCTGTCTGAATTGGATTTCCTTCTTGTGGGAGTCAAACCCCATCCATTTCCTCTCCCAGTAAATATTGGATCTGTTCTGCCCACCATTTTATAAGGACTGAGGAGTCTTCCTGACTTTGCAAAAATCAGACCTTTAAATTTCACTGTATTGCTGACTGTATGCCAACATGTTCAGTGTAATCTATGGTGAGAATCAATAGAATAAACATTTTAGAAAAACTACAAAAATCTTGCGATGGGTTGTTTTTGAAACAGAAATGTTTTATTTTTGCCAAAGTATTTTAGACAATTTGTGAGCAGTATCTGGCAATCTCTCAAATTCATGGCTAGTGTCAATATTCACTCATCAGCCATGATCCTGTTGAATGACAGAGCTGGCTCAAGGGGCTGAACAGCCTACCTGAGTTCCTGCTTATGGTTTTATACATTCAATGAAGTTCTATTTTTCTCATCCCATCCCAAGAAACAATTTGGTAAACCTTCAATTCACTTCCTCTGTGGCAAGTATTTCTCTTCTTGGGCAGGGAGACCAAAATTGCATGCAATACTCCAGATGTGGCCTCAACAAGGCCCTGTACAGCTACAGTAAAACTTTCCATCTCCTGTACTATAGGCAACTCCCACTAATGTTTTCTGCCTCTTGTTGCTTTACTTCTATCCAGACTGATTCCACATCTAGATTTCCTCCCCAATATTCTTTCTCACTATTGTACTGATTTCATCTTTTGCTAAAAATGCAACCCCACCTCTCTTTCTGTTTTATTTGTTCTTCCAAAGATTATGTCAGCGTGAGTGAATGACACTTGATGCCAAGACACCAAGTCATAGCAGCATTAACAGTTGAGCTGTTAATATCAAGGAGATGTGTGATGCATTTACAATGTATGGTTAAGTACCTGCGTTTTATTGATTCTGTTTTAGACCCTTAATATGGACTGAGGAAAGAGGACCAGAGTTGAAACGCAAAAAACAAATAAATTTCCAGTTCAAATCAGATACTTTGGATCATCTTCCAGAAGCACCTAATACCCGTGTTGGACTATTCATGCAAGACCTCAATTTGTTTGCCCAGAAACTAGCAGGGCAAACACCCACTGAGCTCTCTGAAAAGAATCGCCTCCTGCACTGTCTGGACCTGGCGGATGAGATAAGAATTTTCTGTGAGCAGGTTCCACCAAGCTAACAATAATTGCACTTCCTCTGTCTTCTGCAAATAAAATTATTGGTTTGATAGATTATCATTCAGAATTACCATGTAGGCCTAGATTTTTAATTTCTGAGTAATACGATTGCCTGTTTTAGTCCTTTTCACCACATATTAATAATAATAACAAAAGATAATATATATCCTGGTTTTAAGGGATGAGATAACTACCAAGCAGTTGAATGGACATTTCTATCTGATTTCTCTGGACTGCTTTTTGTTTTGTTAAATTAAGTTGTTAATTGTTAAAACATCAGATCACTGCAGGTAGGATTTTTATTATTATGCACAAAGCTTTTATATTAAGTAATAAATGGAGAGAGTGTTACACGGAGTCATGCTACAAAAATATTTTTTCAGTCAGTATAACTCTACACACTCAACAGTTGTGCATTGATATTATTTGATTTCTTACACACACACACACACACACACACACACACACACACACACACACACAGTTATTAGGCAGGCATGTCATTGTTCTCTAATATAGCCATGCAAACTGTGTAATGTGCATGTTGGGAGAATAATAATTGAAAACCAAATTTTAATTTAATGCAAAAGAATATTCATCCCTGAATTTCAATAACATTCCAGGGGCTTCTCGTCATAATTTGCAGCCTCCACGATTTTGATTAAAATAGTTTTGAGGTAGCAACATACTTGATTCTTATCTTGTTTTCCTAACCATAAGATAGTTGTTTCATTTTGTTTAAATGTTTCCAAATAATTGTGTCAGCATGTCAAGGAGAAAAGGTGATTGCACTTCCAAAGTAATTTTTTGGCTTATAGTGGTATGCCCTGAGGAGGCACACCTGGGTATCAATTTTCTTACTGATCTTGCCAAAATGTCACTGCATCACATTCATGGTATTCTGTGGGTTTCTTCACTCTTCAAGCATTATATCATCTTATTCTATCACCTAGGCTGACTGAGAAGGAAAAGTGCATTGAGCTAGCAAATCTCATGACCTCAGGTATCCCAAAGTGTCTTACAGGCAATGTTGTATTCCCTGAAATTCAATCACTGTCGTACTGCAGGATATATGGAGTCAATTTAACAAAAGAACATAGCTGGAGGATTAGCATTCCATCAAAAACACATTTCTTGTTGGTTGTTTTAATTACATAAATTGTATGTGTTATATTCAAAGAAGTTCGAAAGAGATCTCATAAGGCCAGGAATTTCCTGAGCCAGATGAATGATCAGTTTCTTGGCCTGATCTTGGGAGGCAGAGGAAATGCTAAAAATAAAACTGCTACAGACCCCACACACCTACATTAACAGGAAAGAATTCTGCAACCTCCTGAGTTGAACCAGATTGGAAAAGTAGGAGGCTACTTTAAAGGTTTTGCCTCCATTGAAGAGCACAGGACTGTTAATGTGATCTCCTGGAACCTTTCAACATTTTTCTTATGCTGGCCATAGGAAGTGGGACAAAAAAAGAAACTTTGCAACCAATAAGGCCTTCCATTCCCATCACGATTTACATACAAGAGTGGAGAATGAACAGCCAATGGCAATCCTGTTAAGGTGAATGGAGGAAAATCCCATTTAGAGCTGTAATACAAGATTACACATTAAATCATTCCTCTTTATGTTATAATATTGCATCTTCTTGTTTGCACTGTCGCAACTATTAGGACCGTAACTAGTAAGAGGGGAAGTAGGCCATTCAGTCCATCGAATCTGCCCTTTCATTAAATGAGATCATAGTTGATCTGATATTCCTAACACCATGGTTGAAACCAACTGCTTGCTAGAAGATGGACAAAGATAATTTGAATAGAAACCAAAAGAACTGTGGACGCTGTAAATCAGAAACAAAAACAGAAGTTGGTGGAAAAGCTCAATAGGTCTGGCAGCATCTGTGAAAAGAAATCAGAATTAATCAGTTCTGAGGAAGGGTCACTGGACCCGCAATGTTAACAATGATAATTTGAATGTCCCAGACACCTCCACAGCTGACAAATTACTTCTGAAGTGCTGCTTCATTGTTTTATGCATATCTGAGCCTTCAGAATTGGACATTGAACCAAAATTGCTGCACTGGTTGAAGTACACTCACCAAAAGATGTGTTTGCATTTTATCTTGGGTTGATTAATAAAGACATATTAAAACATCAATCTTTATAAATATTATGAACACAAGATACCGAGAATATTGGAAATCTGAAACAAACAAAGAATGCTGAAGGGACTCAGCAAGTCTGGCAGGTCTAGCAGATCTGTGGAGAGAGCATAACATTAGAACTAGGAGTGGGAGGAGGCAATTCAGCCCCTTGAGACTACTGCTCCATCTCATCCTGGCCTCAACTCCACTTTCCTGCCCACTTCCCATAACTCTTTAACCCATTACTAATTTTTTTAAACATCTCTCTACCTCTTTAAATTTACACAATGTCCCAGCATCCACCACCTTTGAGAGAAGTAATTCCTCCTCATTTCTGCTTTAAATCTGCCACCCATTAGCCTAAACCTATGATCTCATATTCTAGATTATCCCACAAGGGGAAATATGCTCTGTATATCTACCTTGTCAATCCCCTTTAGTATCCTATATACCTCAATTAGATCTCTTCTCATCCTTCTAAATTCTAAACCTCTCCTCATAAACCAAGCCTTTCATCTTGAATTAATCCAGTGAACCTTCTCAGAACCGCCTCCAATGCAATTACATCTTTCCTCAATTGAGGCAATGAAAACTGTACACAGTACTCCAATGTGATCTCATCAATGCCTTGTACAGCTGCAACAGCACTTCCCTACTCTTATATTCCATTCCTTAGCAATAAATTCCAAAATTCCATTTGCCCTCCTTATTATGTGCTGCACCTACTTTCTGTGATTCATGCATGATGACACCCAGATCCTTCTGCACTGAAGTATTTTGAAGTTTCTCTCCATTTAGATGATAAGTTGCCTTTTTATTCTTCTGAGAAAAATGAATAACCTCATATGATAAATTCCATCTGCCAAATTTTGGTCCATTCACCTAACTTATCCATATCCATTTGGAAATTTCTTATTTCTTCCTTGCAATTTACTTTTCGGTTTTAGTGATCACTGTAAATTTAGATATAGTGGATTCTATCTCTGCATCCAAGACAGAATAATTGGAGTCCAAGGACTGAACCCTGTGGCACCCCACTAATTACAGCTTATTAACCAAAAAAAGACCCATTTATTCTGTTTTCTGTTGATTAACCAGTCCTCAGTTCAGGCTTCCATGTTACCCCTAGCCCTGTGTGATCTTACTTTCTGTTTTAACCTTTTATATAGCACCTCATTTGCCTGCTGGAAGTTCAGACATACTACATCTTCAGGAGCCTCATTATCCACTTTGCTTGATATATCTTTGAAGAACTCAAACATGATTTACCTTTCATTACCCTTCATAAAACCATGCTGACTCTGATGGATTGTGTTTTGGCTCTCTAAATGTCCCATTACTACTTCCTTAATAATGGATTCAAAAATTTCCCAATGTCAGATGAACTAACTGATCTATAGCTTCCTACTTTCTTCCTCCTTCAGTTTTAAATAAGGGTTTTACATCAGTATTTTTCCAATCTGCTGGAACCTTTCCGGAACCCAGCAAATTTTGGAATATTATAACCATCGCATCCACTATCTCTGCTGCCACCACTTTTAAGAAAGTAGGATGTAGGCCATCAGGCCCTGGGAACTTTTCTGCCTTTAATTCCAATAGTTTGCTCAATACCTTTTCTTTAGCAGTGGCGATTGTTTTAAGTTCCTCCTCTTCTCTAACCTTTGCAATATCTGTTACTATTAGGATGGTTTCAATATCCTCTAAAACTGAGGCAAAATATTGATTTAGTATCTTTAACATTTGTGTTTCCCATTATTAACTCTCCAGTCTTGTCCTCTTAAGAACCAGCATTCACTTTAACTGCTGTTCTACCTTTTATGTGCTCATAGAAGATTTTGCTATTTTTTTAGATCTTGTGCTAGTTTTATTTCATAACTAATCTTTGTACTTTTGTTGCATTTTTTTGTAACCCTTTGTTGGTTTTTAAAATTTTCCTAAGCTTCCAGTCTGCCACTGACCTTTGCAATATGGTATGCCTTAGTCTTTGCCTTTATGTTACTTTAACTTTTTTACTTAGCCATGGATACTTTATCCCCTCTATAATTTTTCTTTCTCTCTGGAATATATTTTCGTTGGGAGGAATTGAATAGCTCCTTAAGTATCTGGTGCTGTTCATCAACTATCCTGCCTTTTTAGTCTTTCTGCCCAGTCACTAGGGCCAAATCTATCTTCATGCCTATGTAATTACTTTTGTTTAACACAAGAACACTAGTGTAGGACTCAAATTTCTTGTCCTAAAACTGAATTTAGAGCCATACAGCATGGAAACAGACCCTTTTGTCCATCTCGTCCATGCTGACCAGGTATCCCAAACTGAACTAGTCCAATTTGCCTGCATTTGGCCCATATATCTCTAAACCTTTCTTTTATGTACTGGTCCAAATGTCTTTTAAATGTTGTAATTGTACCCCCTCTACCACTTCCTCTGGCAGATCATTCCATACATGCATCACGCTCTGTGTGGAAAAAGTTGCCACTCAGGTCCCTTTTAAATCTTTCCCCTCTCACTTTAAACTTTATACCTCTAGTTTTGGAAGCCCCTACCCTTGGAAATGATCACTCTTCCCTAGAGTATCTTCTACTATGTGATCATTAATTAATACCATCTAATTACAGAGGAGAATCTAAGAAAGAAAAACAGAGTTAATATTTTGAGTCTGGTATTACTCTTCTTCACAACTTTTTTTATACTTCTGACAGAGGCAAAGGCCCAGTGCAAAAGACAAAGAGATTGTTAATGACAGAGAAAGAGAGATGTAAACTGAGTATAAATCAAGGTGTGAAAGGGAGGGAATGGGTACTCCAAACTAAGAGCAAAGTAAACAAGACACAAGCAAGACAAGAACAAAATCAGAAGTTCAGAAGGAGGGTCACTGAACCCGAAATGTTAATTCTACTTTCTCTCCGCAAATGTCGCCAGACCTGCTGAGATTTTCCAGCAATTTCTGTTTTTGTTTCTGATCTCCAACGTCTGCAGTTCTTTAGTTTTTTTGTTCAGTGTTTAACTCACTGCCATATCTTCCCCAGGTATGCCCACAGACAAGACAAGGCTGAGGGGGTAGTGGGGGGTGGGTGGTAGAAAATGTAAGAAAATGGAGAACAGATATAGTATGGTTATTTTCTGAAGTTACTGAAATCTCTGTTGAGACTGTAAAGGGCCTATGCATGAAATAAGGTGTTGTTCCTTGAGCTTCTGTTGTGCTTCGTCAGAACACTGCAGCAGGCCCAGGGCAGAAATGTTACCATGACAGCAAGATGGTTTATGCTCTCTTTGTGTCATCCTCACCACTTGCCTTCCCATCTATTTTTGTGTCATCCACAAACTTAATGATAGTACATTCACTTCCATCATCCAAGTCATTAACATGTATTGACGTGCAAACCAAACACAGCACCATATCATCACTGAGACAGACAAAGAGAATAGGCAAGGTTTTGTGTGTACTTCAAATCCTCATGATCACTTATGAGACTTGGCATTCACAGAAGAAATAATTAATCTTTCTTTCAAATTGCAGTTATTAAACTGAGATACATGTGATCTATTA